ATTTCTAGGCTTTTGTAATTCTGATGAGGAACTGATAGATAAGCACGTGGAGAGGTATAACTGGAATGCTCTCTTTTTTATTGTGCTAGGGATCAAACCCAGGATCTTTGAATTAAGCTATATCCACATCCAGATAAGCACGTGGAGAGGTATAACTGGAATGCTCTCTTTTTTATTGTGCTAGGGATCAAACCCAGGATCTTTGAATTAAGCTATATTCACAACCCCCCCCGCCCCGCCTTTCTTTAATTTTGAGATGGAATCTCACAGAGTTGCTAAATTGCCCAGGCTAGGCTAGAACTTGCAATTTTTCTACCTCCGCCTCCCCGAGTGCTGGCATTACACGTGTGTGCCACCATGCCTAAGTCATTTTTAAGAACTGCATTCACAGGATAAATGCTATTCACCATCAAAAAAATGACTGAAGACCTGCTGCATTTGATCAGCCCAAAGCACATTTTTTCCCACATTTTAAAGTCTCAGAACTTGGGGTTTGTGATACAGTTGACAGCATCTTATAATGAATTGGCAGCAGCTTCCCTCCGTGGAGGTACGTAAGATGGCACAGCCCCAGACAGTTTGGATGGCGCGTGACACTTGATGAGACAGGGTGGGTGTCTGTTGCAGTGCTTCATGGAAGGGCTTTCTTGCATGCCAGTGTCCCTGGTTGTTTCTGTCTTCAGCAGAATGACTGATGGAACTTCACTGCCCTGCTAAGTACCGCATGCAAAGGAGTTTCAGGATTCCCATGTGCCAAAGAACACTCTAGGTGTTGGGACTTGAGGGTTTAAGGATGGGGAAATGTAGACGTTCTTCTAAGTCACTGGGGCTGGTTTTCCCTTTTGTGCACTTGACCTTCAGAATGACACACACTTGAGGGATGACCCTGACCCACCAAAGGCATCAAAATAACCTTGGAAATGTCCTGTTACGCCATGACGAGTAACTTCTCTCTACTAATTTTCTGAGTTCTCCTTAATGGGTAGATATTGCAGAGCCAGCCTTGGGCCGAGGCAGTCCTAAGAGCAGCATTCTCTTTATTATTACCCACCGGTCTACTTCACATGTGTATGGTTTGCTGGCCCGTTCGTACTTGAGTAAAGCTTTTCATTCAAAACAAAGTCGCAGTTTAGAAGATGATGAGCAAAATGATGGAATGACACAGTGCACCAAAAATAAACAAGCAGCTTCATCTTCCAGGGACCCGAGCTGATGTCAGAGAGAGGTTTCCCTGGAGCTTACTTGTGCAGGGCCGGGAAGGAAGAAGGGAGTTTTCTAAGCAAAAATAGAAAGCAGCGGGACCCGTATTCCAAGGAGAGGGAGCGAGGGCAGGGTCCTCAGACCCGAAGCGCTCACGCTTGTCCACCTCATCACCACATTAGGCCCTGGCTTAGAATTGTTCGTACGTCACCTCTGCTCCTCGCTTGCTGGACTCACTTCCCTGCCGTCAAGGAGCTGAATGGAACTCCGCAAGTGAAAATGCACTGAAAGCACCAGCTGCTCCCAGACCCCTACTTGTGGAAGACGGAAGCCAGGGAAAGTTGGCCTTCAAGACAGAAGCTACAGGAATGTGGGTGTCTGGGTGGGTGGCAGGAGACACAAAAATGGAAAGATCCTGACCCTGTGGAGAAAGGAGCATTTGTCTCCCTCCCTCTGCTGTGACCGCAGCTTGGCCCTGGGTCTGTGAGGATAACGGACCGGCAATTCTGTGGGGCTGTGGGGCTTCAGAGCCGGGCAGGCGGGACTGCAGACGTGGAGTGCAGACAGGGGCCTGTGGTGCTCAGCTTGGAGAAACCTCTTCAGGCAGCTGATGCCTCCATGAGCTGGCTGGTGACACGCTGACCGGGTGTCACTGTGATTGAAAATGAAACGTCATCTGTGCCCATGGAATGGTCCAGACTGGGGACAGCGGGGTTTAATGACTCAGCACTTGGGGTTAACATTTGTTAATTCAAGGAACCACTCAGAAGAGATCAGCTAGAAGCACGAGATGGAATAAGCAGGGCTAGTCTTTGGTTTTATTTTTGCCTCTCCTACAGCGGACTCCTACGTGATTTTTTTTGGGGGGGGTACTTTATCCATCTTCTGCCTCTTTCTCTGCCTCTGTTACTTTATCCATCTTCTGCCTCTTTCTCTGCTTTCCATGAAAAATGGAAATAATAGAGTCATGAATTACACAGGTATTTTAGTTAAAATTTGAAGTTTGGTGTGAATAGTGATCTTAGAGGATGTAATCCCAATAATTCAGACCATCTATCAGCTTACCTTTGGCTCTCTGCCAAGAGTCTGTGTCAACAGTCATCGCCTGAGTTTTAGGACACATCAAGAAGTAGAAAATTGTATTTCCCACCCATTAGTGGGAGCAAACAGTCAGAGAAAAAGTCCTTTTTTTTTTTAAGAATGAGCGGAATGCTGGAAATCACCTCAGTTTCTATCCTTGTGCACAGGTGGTAAGTTTTCTGTCTAGGACAGGATGCCTCTGACATCCTGAGGCATCAAGGACAGCCCAGAGGATGAACTAACATGGACAATATCAAAACTAAAACTAATTTGTGTTCAGACATAAACTCTACATTAGTGAAAATAGAAGGGAGATTGTTCACCTAGAGAAGTTAACCATGGGTATCTTCTTCATAACTGTGTCTATCCAAAACAGATCAAGTCCTTTGTACAGGTGATATTTTAGCCCGTCCCTTGAGGACCAGTATTTCATCTTCATCCAACTGTTTACAAACCTGAGCCTCAGATCAAGAGTTAAATTTGTTCTTTTTCTCCCAATGAATAGCTCATTATTACCACCCTGGAAAGAGGTTTACCAGGCACCTGCGTATGACTCAGTCTGCCTCGTAGAGCAAGAATCCTTTCCCTCTCCAATTTCTTCACCCAAATCCTACCCACAAACCTTTTATTTTGCCAGTGGAATTCCTGTTTAAAACAGACATTATTACTTGGATTTGAATATGCCACAAGTCCCACTCAATGATACTCCTACCCTAGAACAACTACATTCATGAAGCAAAACTCTGATAAAATAGTGAAGTCACATAATAGAAGTTAATTCTGTTTCCCTGGAGTTTTGTTCCACATACCAGAATGACGAAGGAGTTTTGTTGGATTTTATGTGCTGCTACTTATTTTTTTACATTCTTACCATCTCAGTTCACTCTTTATAACTCTCCCTTATATTTCATATTAAGTGAGTATTTTAAAAGAAGGATGTGGATATTCAACACAAAATTTCACATTTCATTTTAGTACAAATCCAGTTCAATCTCTACCTGAATATTAGCTAAACCTGAAGTGCTATCTATGACCAGATTTGTGCCACTGTAGACAAGGGAATGTCTGCAGTAATCTTTTTCATCCACTGCTGTGAGGTCAACAACAGTTCTTTGGGAAAATATCCCTGGAGGGAAGATGTCACCCTCCTCTGCACGGAAGTGATGGCCATCAAGGTACAATCATACGGAAATGAGTTGGAGTCAAAGTCAATAATATATGAAATCAGTGAGTAAATACAAGACCTAAGACCATAAACCGCATAGCAGAAGAGAGGCTTAAATCTTCATGACTATTGACTTTGCAATGGGTTCTTAGATGTAACCCAAAAAGCACAAGCAACAAAAGAAAAAGCTAGGCAAGTTAAACTTCATCAAAATGTAAAACTTCTAGAACTGGGGATATAGCTCAGTGGCACAAGTGCCTGCCTGGTAAGTGCAGGGTCCTGAGTTTGATTCCCGGTACCAAAAAATAAATAAATAAATAAATAAACAAAAATAAAGGTGGAATAATATCTTTTTTAAATGTAAAACTTTTGTGCATCAAGGAGGAAAAAGACAACCACCAACAGGGAGAAAACATTAGTAAATCGTGTCTCTGATATGGTATAGTATCCAGACTGTATAAAGAACTCTTCCAGCTCAGCAACACAAAGACAGTCACATTTTAAGACAACAAAGAATATGAGTGCATTTTTCTCTGAAGATTTAAAAACAGCCAAAAAACTCATGAAAAGATGTGTGACGTTGTTAGTTTTTAGGAAAATACAAATCAAAAAACCACAGTGAGACACCTGTTTGCATCGTTGAGAAGGCTTGGAATTTTCCTTACATGGAAAGTGACAAACACTGGCGAACATGTGGAGAATCTAGGACCCCTTTTCTTTGTAAAAGCGGTTCTGCTGCTATGGAGAACATTTTGGCAGTTCCCAAGAAGTTTAACGTAGCGTTACCTATGCCTCCCAAATTCTGCTTCTAGGTATAGCTAGAAAAGGGTTGACAACAAAGTCTAGACAGGTCCATGCGCAACGTGGTCACGCAGCCCTATTCGCCGTATCCACAGGTGGACACAGCCCAAATACCCATCAACAAATGGTTGTATATGGACACATACAACATAATATTATTCATCCACAAAAAGGGATGGAATGCTTGTATATGCTATCAGGACGAGCCTCCAAAACTCCTTGTTAGGTCAAAGCAGCCAATCACATAAAGTCATACATCGTATGATTCTCTTTATACAAAATATCCAGAGTAGGTTAACCCGTAGATGCAGATAGAAACCTGTGATTACCAGTAGATGCAGATAGAAACCTGTGATTACCAGGTTTGAGGGGAGAGGAGAAACTGGGAGAGACTGCTTAATGGGTAAGAGGTTTTATTTTGGAGTAATAGAAATACTTTGCAGCTAGGCAGAAGTGGTTGCACAACCTTGTGAATGTACTAGATGCCACTGAGTTGTCGACTTCGAAATGCCTAATTTATGTTATGTGAATTTCACCTCAATAAACAAAACAAGAAGTCAATATTGCAAAATAAATGTGATTGTTAGCTGCATTCCCAGCAGTGCTTTACAAGCACATTATTGTACGTGTTTCTCATTAGAGTTGTCGTCAGAGTTATGAGCGGCGGATAGGTTGTAAATGACCAGTGATATATCTCACATTCAATGTGGTCAACTAAGAAAAATAATTGATTTCTTTTTTGTTGTTCTTTCAGGACTCTCAGCTGGTATCCTCCGGACACAATAACCCAAGTAAGCAAGGCATCTCTGCTGCTGTGTTGGGGTGGCGGGGGTTGGGGGTGGGAAGATGTGATGGACAGTAGGTTACAGGAAACTCACTGAAAAACAAAATCAAGTGGGAAAAAGAGAGGCATTTTGTTCCAGGACTGCCTGAATGGATGGCGGGATTGAGAGTGATCTTGAGTGCCGACCTGCGTGAATTTCAAAGTGCACCTAGGAGAAAGGAAACTCATGCTTTATCATAGTCGTTAGTATGTGTGTGGGAGGGGGAGAATTAAAAGGCAAATACTGAGATGTCTGAATTCAAAGGAGTAAGCAAATAAAGGCGATCAGAAGAGCTCATGATATTGGCCTTAGAATCTATGAAGAAAAGCCACAACTTGCTGCATGTGTGTGCCATGCCGTATTCAGGAAGAGGCAGGCTAGGCTCTTTAGGAAGTAGCTTCCTCCTGGAATGAGTGGATAATCAGACGTGTGGGCTTTGTCATCAAAGAGAGGAGTGTTCCACGAGGTAGTGTTTTCATTCCCTTCTTTGACACTACTAATTGGTATTATTAATGTGGACTGGGGCATTAGAAATGCATAAGCTACCCTGCTCTACCCTGTTCGTGTCCCAAGAGCGCTCACGGAGACAGGGCTTTGTTAGTTTCATGATCACAGTGAGCACACAGCGCCCTTTGCCAATGGCGAAGCTATGTCTGAAGATGAAGATCAGTCTGACCTAGGCAACAGGTCTGTGGCTCCAAGGCTCATCCACTGGGCATCTGTGCCTCAAGAATTGGGGACAAGAGATATTCAGACAAACGCCTGTGGAGCACAGCCAGAGAGAGGCAGGGGCGGGGGCGGCGTATTTATGGTGACACCGTGACGCATGGGCAACGTCCTTCAGTCATCCCACCCGCTGCTGGGATGTGCTGTGGCTGCAGGCACCAGTGAGGGCTTTTTCTAAGACCTTTGCTAAGAGAAGTTTCCCCAGGCTTTCTGAATACTCAATGAGCTTCAATTTTATTAAGATCTTGAATAGCCCATTGAATATTTAAATACTAAAACCGATAATGTGTGTTTACATTTATTAAAGTTACGAGAACGCCTATCCAGGTGGCAGTTGCCCTGAAGCACATCTCCTTCCCCCTTCAGAATCCCACTTACTACCCATAAAGCTATAGAAATAGAAAGAAATCCACATCAGCACAGAGAACACGGAAGCGTGCCATCAGCAAACCAGAAACTTAGCTGCATTTCTGGAAAACAGAAAGTAGGAAAGCCTACAGGAAGCCTACAGACAAATAATCCTGAGCAGGGAAAGTCATAACCAAGCAGAACAAGAATCAAAGAGGAGTAGGGGTCACAGTCCTCTGGAGCCCCAGTGGATCCTCTGGACTGCCAGAGGAAACCTGTAACGCTCGCGACCCATCCTAGCTCACGCTCATACAGAGCTTTCAGTCTGATCTTCTTCACAAAAAGCTCTAAACAACAAAAACACAGTGGTATTCTCTTTAAAAATTAACAGTCAACCAAAACTCCTAGATGGGAACTGCTATGTAAGAGAAACAGAATAAATTCTAAGGTAGTAGAAAACCTTAAAAGGAGACATAAATAAGTGATAGAAGAAAAGTCAACTTTCTCAAGAGGGAAATAAACAAAAAGTCTGCAAATCCAAGATAAAGTACTTCTTGCTTTGTTCTGGGTTTTTTTTTTTCAGAACTGAGGATTGAGCTATCCCCACTGAGCTATATCCCCACCCCTTTTGATTTGGACATTGTATTCTCAGAGAGGGTCTTGCTAAGTTCCCCAGACTGGCCTCAAACTTGAAATCCTCCTGCCTCAGCCTCTCAGAGTGCTGGATCACAGGCATGTGTCACTACCCCTGGCTTATTTCCTGTTTGTTTTTTGTTTTTTGTTTTTTGTTTTTGCGGGGGGGGGAGGCAGTAGAGGGAGGTTTGCCTGGAAGCTTCTCTTCTCTGATCTTCCAGTCGGCATGCCCTGTCATCTTATAAATCAGCCCTTTCAACCAGGTGTTCCCCACAAGGAGTAAGTATGTTAGAAGAATCAGGAAACCCACACCAACTACCTCGTTTATAAACCTGTTATTCAAACACACAAATATGTATGCCATGACCCCAGAGGGAATCTAGCTAATTCAAGAGAAGGAAGAAAAAAGTTTCAAGTAAATCACAGTCTTCAGAAATATTGAAATTGTTTACATTAAATAAAAAGTGTGAACAGATTGAAGTAATTACTGAATAAACAAACACTCAAGAATTAAAAATAAGATCAACAAAAGTAAAAAAACTAATAGAATTTTATAAAAGGGATGGGTGATAGTTGAAGTCTAGAATGTGGAATATGGAGTTAATACTGAACACAAAGCAAGGCGTGGTGGTGCACACCTGTAGTCCCAGCCCTGGGGAGGCTGAGGCAGGAAGATTGCTGTGAGTTCAAGACCAGCCTGGACTACATAGTGGGTTCAAGGGCAGCCTAGAATATACAGTGAGAATCTGCCTCAAAAAAAAAAAAAAATAACAAAAATACTGAAACAGATAATTAGCATGGGAAATTAAAAGTCCTGCTAATAGGGAGACCAGAAAAAGAAAGAAAATGCAGAAGAATAAATAATAGTAGAAATGAATACTATTCCCAGTAAAATGACTTACTCACAGCAAAAAAAGATAACATCTTATATAAAAGGAAACAAGACTATGTGCTAGACAAAGAAATACAGACAGTGAAAAATCGTACTGCTCACACCGATATTGGAATTATCCAACCTAGCATATAAAAATAAGAGTCCTTACTTTAACTTCCAGAAGCAGAAGAGATGGCTACAAATGTGGTAAACAACAAGAAGATTTGAGGAAAGGCTAAACAGAATCTCTAGAAATGAAAACATTAGTAACAGAAACTAAAATTTCCATGGGCCGGTTGAAATAGCATATTAGACATAGCTGAAAGGAAATTAATGAATTGGAAAATTAAATTGAAGAAATTACCTAGAAGGCCACTTGGAGAGACACAAATGGAAGATAGAACATGGAAGCTAAGAAATGTGAGGAACGAAGGAGGGAAATCTGACTTGGATCCCAGAAGAAGCGTGTGAGGGACAATGTGAAAGGATATTAGGGCCCGGAATCTCCCAGGGTTAAAAGATGCCAGTTCACACACTCATGACACTGAGTGAATCCTAGCCAGATAAATGGCAAAGATTCACACATATGTACTACTCAAAACACATCTATAAAGGAAAACAACCTTAAAGTACCCTTAATATTTTCCAAAAAGGAACAAACTTCTACTGAGTGCTCAGCACCAGCAGTCAGAACCAGACAAGGAAATCATAACTTCACCACGTTGAGAGAAAACAATCACTAACTGAAAATTTTGTTAGGATTCTGTTTCTTTCTTACAAAGAAAAATTATAAAGAATGATACTTTTTGGCAAACAAAAGCTGAGAGAGTTTGCCGCCATCAGATCCTAAAAAAATGAAATTCCAAAAGATGTACATTGTTCACAAGTGTGAGCTGTAAACATGACTGAACAGCAAAGAAAGTAAAAATGGGAAATCTGAACAACACAGGTTGCAGCAAACAATAATATATCATGAGTTAATAAAAATAAAATGTAAAAAAGTTAAAATAAAAGCATGATTAGAATACACAAAATAACAGCATAAAATAAGAAGGAAAAGTTGGGTTAAAATGTGTTTCTCTGTTTGGGAAATGTATAAAAATACTAACTTTGGACTTTGAAAAATTAAGAATTTACAATTTTTAGGATAATCTCAAAACCATAAGAAAAGGGTGTTTAACTTGCAAACAAAATGTGAAAAGCATCTTGCAGACCAAGATAAAAATGGAATATGAAAATATTATCAATTTATCTAAGAGAAATAAAAAATAGAAAATGAACAGAGTACCTGGGAAGGTAGAATGGCATAAATGAAATGAAATCAGTAATTTAAATGGATTGAACTTTATGTTTAAATGATATGTACAGTATTGTCTAAAGGAATTAAAAATAAAACTCCAAGTCTATGCTGTTTACAGTGACACAATGAAAAATTCAAGATTCAGAAAATTTGAAAGAAAAATGTATAGGAAAATATATGCCAGGCAAATACTAATGAAAAGAAAGATGGTATATTTATTTTAATCCCAGAAAAGTAAACCATAAACAAAAAAATTACTATTGAGAGCTACTATACAACAAGGAAAAGTACAGCTTACCACACAAATGAAAGAATTTTAAACATGTAAATTTTGGATAATATAGCTTCAGAATTTCCAAAGCAAAAGTCAACCAAAGTACAAGGAGAAATCCACCTTATTTGGAGATATAAACACAAATTAGCAATTGTGACATCATGCAAACAAAAGACTTAACAAAAGCTCATGATCCAGCAGCTTACAAAATATGTTGTACATGTAGGCAAATCAGGAGTATTTATGCAAATTGACATCACATGAGACCACAAAACAAAGTTCAACATGTTTCAGAGGCTCAGTATTTTACTGATCATGGTCTCTGACCACAATATGATTAAATTAGAAAGTGGTAATAAGAAGATAATCAGGAGTGAAGACACAAATTTTAGGAATTAGAAGCACTTTAGTCCTTATTGGGGATAGGAAGGTAATTAAAATACCTAGTATTAAAACTGGGAAATGTAAATAAATGGGAGGGAATTTTGTAACTTTAAATACTTGTATTTAAAAAATAATAATAGCTAAGCATCCGTCTTAAGAGGTTAGACAAAGAAGAAAACAAATCCAAAGAAAACTGAAAGACCTCCCCAAAAGAGACAATAACAAATTAACAAACAGCAAACAAAAGTAAAATTTTAAATATCAGTGGAACCAAAAGTTTGTTCTTTGAAAATATAATAAAATTAAAGAACTTCCTGGAGAGGTTGGTCAAGACAAGAAGGGAAAATACAAATAAACAACAACAGTAAAAATGAAAAGGAGCAGAATTAGAGAACAGGAAGAGGGTGAGAGGGGAAGACACGACAGGG